ATACAATAATTATTAAACCAATAGTCTTATTGGGGCAAGTCAACTTCTGGGGATACAAATAGTGTCAACGGGAGGAATTTCATTTTTTCAGAACAGGTTGCATCACTTTAATTTTGGTCCAATTGAGACTTTGAAAAATGCATACCAATAAAAGCTTCATGAGACAATGCTCTTACTGGTTTGCTGGTGAAGTTGGCATCGACCCCCAAATCCAGCAGCCGATGAGTCTATAACAGAACTCCAAAGGGGGAAATCACACACAGCCTTCACTTTGCCCTGGTGGCGTCAACCATGATCGCACAGCCCCACAGGCACATCCTGCTGGCTGCTGTGAGCTGAGAGGCAGAGGAGCAGGCCTCTCCTTCACGCCTGCTCTTCCCCTGGATCTATTTTCTGTTCCAGCTGTGTGAGATGTTCTGAATCTTTTTCATTCTGATCCTCTGATCCAGCATCTTGTACCTCACAGGATGCTCCTCAGTTTTCTTTGGGACGGAAGGTGCGTAAGAGCCAGATGCATAAGCAGGGCGTTTAAAGTGGCGCAGAGGAGGCTTGATGACTGGAGGCCGTGCAAAGGAAGACAGACAACCGTTAGCCTCCCAAGGGTCGGGGCACAACTTCCTCGCCCCTAGTCTTCAAAACCAGGAAACAAACAGAGTTAAAACTCTCACTGGGGATTGTGTTGCTGACAGGTGAACAAGCACATTATCATCCTGGTCACTCACTTAACATAAATAAAGGCAAATTCCTAGAGATAAACAATGATGACCACGGGATATGCAGAGTCTTTTTCTAATGAATGGACTGGGTTAAGGATGTGAGAGGGATCCAAGGGGTCACTTTGGGGGAGAGCAGGGCAAACAGAAGTGAGCAGAGCCACTTCAGCAGTCGGCATTGTACGTAAGCTTTTAGGGCGGCAGAGTTGCACACAATCCTGAAATGCTAATACAAAGTGCATCATTGAGAAAACATTTGCAAAACATTACATATATACAGTTCTTGTAACCAAAATAATAAAAGATGTGAACAGACTACTCACCAGAAAAGATACACACATGGCAAAAACGCATAAGTTACTCGACAATTTTTGTCATTAGGAAATTGTAAATTAAAACAACAGTGATATGTAGTATACACCTATTAGGATGGATAAAATCCCCCCAAAATCTTTATGAAACACATTGCTGGCCAGGACACAGAGTGACAGGAGCTCTCAGTCTTGCTGGTGGGAATGTAAAATGTTACGGCCACTTTGGAAGACAGTTTGAGAGTTTCTCATGAAGCCAGACATAGTCTTACCACGTGCTCCAGCAATTGTGCTCCTAGGTGTTATTTACCTAACTGACTTGAAAGCTTAGGTCCACATAAAAACCTATACATGGATTTTATACAAGTTTATTCACAACTGCCAAAAACTGTAAGCAACCAAGATATCCTTAATAAATGGATAAACACATTACAGAACATCCATACAATGGAAAATTATTCAGTGATAAAAAGAAGTGAGCAGCTAAGCCATGTAAAGACAAAGATGAATCTTAGATGCATATTGCTAAATGAAAGAAGCCAGTCTGAGAAGGCTACCTACTGTCTGATTCCATTTATGTGACATTCTTAAAAGGGCAAAACAAAAGAAATGATAAAAGGATCAGTGATTGCCAGGGGTTCTGAGGGAGAAGGAAAGGTTAAGTGAGTGCAGCACAGGGAGTTTTTAGGGAATTAAACTATTCCACATGGGACCGCAGAGGTGGATGATGCTACCTATGCCAGCACTTAGCAGCACAAGGAGTGAACCTGAAGGTGTGCACATTTAAAAAATAATGTAGGCGGCCAGAGGAATCACAGAACGAAATGCAGAGTGTAACAAAACAATCTAACTGCATTAAAAATGTAGGAAACAATCTCATTAAATAGGATGTGGCAAAAAGATGCTTACTAGGTAACTTTGGATATGAGTGGGTTCTGTTAGACTAAAGGCCAATGAAGCTGCTCACAAGTGCGGTATCCTGGTTGATAAAGTTGTTTCCCATGGGAGTACTGGTTAACAATTTGACTACTACTCTAAATGTCTACTAGAATTGGACAACTATGGACATAGATAGTGGATGGCGAGAGCCAGGATTCTCACTATTGCAGTGGGAGCTTACAGAAAAGCAAAAGGAAGGGCAGTATGAATTCACTTATAATATAGACACAGATCAATACAGATGTAGACATAGGTATAGCTATGGATATGGATAAATACATAGAGATACACACACACACACACACACACACACACACACACACACAC